CTACTTCCGTAGTGATACTGCCTCGGAAACCCAAGGAGGGGTCGCTATGAGTCGGGTCCGACTCGACAGCACATAACAACAACAACAACAACAAATAGGTCACGTAGAAACTCTTGAGTTGCTGTATATTCTGCTGTGTTACCTTCTCAATAACAAAAATAAAAGAGAAATTCCTACAAACAGCACGGATGAGGTCTCCATGAGACGTCCACTCTAAGGCAGCTGGTTGGTTAGAGCATTCAGTATAAGGAGGGTGTCAAATTTTCCATCTTTTCTTTTAGGACTCAAACCGCTTTTAAGATTCTATACAATCATCCCTACAAACTGCCACCACCTTGATTATCCAGCGATCGCATTCCGGTGCCCACGTGGTGCACTGCCAGCTACTTTTCATAAGGTAAACAATGAGGTTCTGCTTGGGTCACGGGGTTGAGCAACTCTTGGTCACTGTATGCTCGCTAACAAAGGCCTCTGAAAAAGACTCACCCCGCGATTACAGTCCTCCCGCCAGGCTAGGCGCAGGTCTGAGCATTTTCGCGGCCCGTGTCTCCCGATGCTCTGCGCTCAGGACCAGGGCATCCGGCCAAGCTCCCAGAGGCAGGGGCAGCAGCGGACGCGCCGGCCTTTGGCCGCCGTCAGGGGCTGGCTGTCAGGGCCAGCACAGCCCTCCGCTTCTCTAGGTCCTGTGGGCTCGGCCTCGGTGAGCTGGAGGAGCTACGGAAAGCCAGGCGGCCCCGCGGGCTGGTCTGTCAGTCCGTGGCTCGGCAGTCGTCAGTCTGGTCCTCACTCGGTGACGACTCTGCCGCCGCCGCCCGGAGCGGGCCTCAAGCCAGTGCCAAGCCCCGCCCCGCCCCGCCCCACCCGCAGAGCCCCGCCCCTGTCTCCTTGCGATTGGGTCACGAGACCGGTACCAGACAGGGATTGGTCCGCTGGACATCACTCTCGCCGCGCTTACAAATCTAGGAGGAAAAAAACAGGTGTAGTGATACCCCAAGGGCACGGCTGCGGGCTGAGGGCCCCGTGTCGGGCTTCTTCAATGACCCCTGCAGTTGCAAAGCATTTCGAGGTCCGAAATCGTTTTTCAGAAGCACACGGAATATTTGGTGGAAACGGAGCATGTTTGTGGGACAGCTTCCAGTACCATCCTAGTCTGCCCTTGAACAAGTGCCCGCAGAAGAAAGGGAGGCGTAGGGCCTGGGTGGCACGGGGGAGAGGCTGGAAAGAGCTCCCAAGGCAAAGAGCTTGGACCTTGAGGTCGGGTAGCCGGGGTTGTATCTTGTCTCTGCCTCTTGCATAGTGGTATGACTTTGGACAAATTATTTAACATCTATGAACCTCGATTTCTTTATCTGTCAAGTGCAGGTTAACAGTCTTGGAGGGCTGTTGTAATTACACTCGCCAAATGTGTATACAGTGCAGCCCCTGGGCAGAGGGGGCGCTGTCCATGTTCTCCATCCAAGCCCGCCAGGAGCACACCTGTAGGTGTGTATTAGGCCTTGCAGGCAACGCGCAGGATGGGGAAGCTCCCGTCTCAGTCAGAACGAGTTAGAATTCATTATGGGCTGTGGACTTGCGTTGAATGAGTTTGGGGAGTCCCTGCGTGGTCCAGATGGTTTATGCACTCAACTCTTAACTGATAGATTGGACCTTTGAGCCCACCAGAAGAAAGGTGGGATAGGGAGGAAGTCCTGATAGGCTACTTCCAAAAGACCAACCATTGAAAATCCTATTGCACACAATTCTGACGCACGTGGGATCACCATGAGCCGGAGTCCACTGAACAGCACCAGGCTGTTGCTCTGGGTTGGATGCTGTGAGGAAGCGGGGGTCATTCTGTGATTGGGTATCTTACCAAGTCATATTTGGGGGAGATTAGACAGAGGTTAGAGCGGTAACTGCTGATGAGGCAGCAGTCGCTCGGATGAGCCTTTTTTGATCATTTTTGTGGTTTGTTTTGTCTGTGTTCAGACAGGATCACAGAGTTGTCTTTGTAAGGCTCTGTCATGGTCACAAGGAGCTGTGGTGTTGTAGTGGTTTAGGCATTTGGCTGCTAACCAAAATGTCAGTGGTTTGAACACACCAGCTGCTCTGCGGAAGAAATATGGGTGGTCTGCTTCTGTAAAGATTTACAGCCTTGGAAACCCAATGGGGGTCGCTGTTGTTGTTGTTATTATGTGCCAAGGTGGAGTCAAACCCTACTCATAGCAACCCCGCCTTGGGTTTCCAAGGCTGTCAGTCTTCACAGATGCAAAGCCCAAACCACACCCACTGGAAGCAGAGCCCAAACCAAATTCACTGCCATTGACTTGACTTGACTCATAGCGACCCCTCCTTGGGTTTCCGAGGCAGTATCACTATAGAAGTAGATTGCCCAACCTTCCTTCCGAGGAGTGGCTGGTGGGTTTGAACCGCCAGCCGTCTGGTTAGCAGGCAAGTGTCTTAGCCACTATGCTACCAGAGCTCCTAGGAGTTGCTATAGACTCGATGGCAGTGAGTTGGTTTGGTTTTGATCACGGTCACAGAGTGGCCTTGTCTGATGTTGATGTTCTGTGACACTGTTGAAT